TAGAAGATCATGGTCTTTTATAACTGAACTGCTAGCAGACGACAACATTTGACCGTACTAGAAGACCACCCTTTAGAATTCGACTTATCGGACAAATAGAAGACCAGGTGGTCTCCTATTAGGGGAATAAGTACTTTCTTTATTCAGATAGTTCACTTTTATCAACTTAGTGTTTCTAAGAGAAACTGATCTGTTTCACAGAAATTCGCAATGATGTAAGTATCTGAATGATTAAGTTAAAGTCAGTTCTGTACTCTATAAGAAATAGTACCAGCCCAGTATTTAAATATGATTAAAGCATTCTAATAATAGAAACTTTAACAACAGTTTTAGAACTTGTTTTCAAACGTGTACCGTTACGCGTCCAAGCGGCATTGATTCGCACTGGATTGATGTAGGCTCTCTTTAGAGTTTGGATACTATCACAGATAATAAAGACACTTGTACGGATTTGACCTTTCTAAGGACGATAGAGAAAATGAAAGAAGATGTATGCTATATTGTAAGAAAATTGCTTTTTTCGAGGTTTTTAGCAGTTTGAATGAGAATTCTTTAATGGTGTTTTGAATTTTATCATTATTAACCGAATGATATGATAACATAACTAAGTTTGCTTCGAGCCGAACCGTCTGCACTCGGATCCTTTTTCTTCAAACACTGTATGGATCCGATTCTTTGTTCTAATGAACCCTGTTTGAACTCGGATCTTTGTGTTTTCGATCATGGTCGGTTCCGGACAGAATTCAAAGCTGCAGTGGAAATATAGAATTTTTTCCCAGAAATATCAAGTATTAACAATTTCGTCTCAGTTTCGTCTTGAAGAATCAATGTCGTACAACACTCGATGTCTAGAGTAAAAACGTGAAAAAAGTCGATTTTTCTTACATTTTTTATCTTAAAAATCGACTATAACCGTTAAAAATCAGATGAATACATTTGTTCTTTATGCTGTTGCAAACTGTACTCACCGAAATATTTCCTTCATCGAAAAACCACAAACTAAAACTCCTTTCTTAAAATTCATCGAATCTGTTTGATATGGAACAGGATTCGGAAAAAGAAAGGTCCGAGTTCGAACCAGGTTCATTCGGGCAGAGAATCGGATCGGAACATGTGTTTGATGAAAAAGACTCCGAGTTCAAACAGGAAGCGATGAGCATAGGTTCGAATCCGAATCTCGAACCTGAGGTTCGGTTAGGAGCATCCCTAAACATCACTCATAAATTACCTGTTATGCAATGTAAAATATCTTTTGACCATTTTGTGATAACTTTAGCATAATTCATAACAAATTGACGACAATTATTTAATAATCGGTCAAGTACTTGTTTTTCGATTAATAATTCTTTTGTAATACATAAATGTACGCCCAATGAAAACGAACATGATCCAATATATAATAATTGTGCTGGTTTTAAACGTAATTCTTTGTTAATTTTTTTCGAAATATTTTCTTTCATTTCTTCTAGATAAATTTTGTACCATTGAGATAGTACACAACCAGTTATTATTTCATTTAATGCTATGAAACTATGATCACATACTGTATTATGTGAAGATTCATGTTCAAAATAGGATAATACATCGAGCCACAAACATAAAATTGTTAAACATGAATTATCATGTAAAATTTGAGAGTTATTAATTTCTTTTAGAATCAGCATCAAAGTATTTATATATTGTTTATCTAGTAATAATGACCTTTTCACATCATCGACTTGTACGTTTGCAAACACAATTTTTATATTTAATAATGCAACATTTTTCAAGTAAATTGATTCATATTCTTGACATTGATAATTATTTATGTGCCATTGATACAAAAGTTTCCATGCAATATTTTCAATATTAACAAAAGTAGTTGTTGCATACTGTCGAAAGATATTTGAAAATATTTCATCTTCTGGAAGATTTATACAAGACTGAACAATGTCATTAAACTGTTCAACGATCGTCGTTGTTATTTCAATTTTATTATAATCTGTCCCATTTTTAGAAACTAAGTTAAACTTTTTATTCACTTCTTCCATTCAGATCATTTTAGTACGTTTAGAAAGAAAGAAAGAAAACGTTGTGACAGAAGAGTTATTTCGAGGATAAAAACACATTGCAATAGCAAAGATAACAAGCAAAGATAATATTTATCGTTTCTTTCGTTCTTCGCAGTATAACAGAATTGAAAAAAAAACGCTGTTTTGTTTGTCACACACTTATCTTTTAACAGAAGTAAAAGGTATATTGTCGTTTATGGCCGATATTTGGAAATAACTGACAAAGATGCACGTCATTCGACTTGTACTTAACCATCGTGAGTTCAAAGACCCAACTGTAAAAGCCAATGCGTTTACACTCGCACTTCTCCCTATGTTTTTCTTTCCATGGGCATATTTCGAGTTAAGAAACCAACAATTATGTACTTCACCATAATAAAGTCATTAAAAAAGACCATAAATCCCATTTTCTTCTGAATATTTCATAAAGCATTTTACAGCCCATGAAAGTCTCTGTCGAATAGTATATGATAGTTGAGGCTTGCTCTAAGCGAACGAGATAATGAAAATACTTTGATTAAAGTTCATTTAACGAAAAAAACGTTTTTTTGCGAAACGTTTTCCGTAGACTGAAACGGATTTTTAAGATGTAAAAATACGTTAGAACTAATCCCGGACAGAAACTACATCAGATGGACTAATATAAGATTGATCTGTGAGGAGGCCGATTGTGCCTCTTATCGACCCACGTCTTTAGGAGTATAGGTCAATCAGGCAGTCACAACTGCAAAATAACGGCAACATGGCTTCCTATTAATCATAATTTGATGCTCTGATCGGTTGTTTGACTTCGTCAATATCTCATTATATAGCAATTCATGTCTATGCAAGTTTACATCGTCCTGACGCAAGTACAAATTACTGAAGGCGTAATTAAGGTCGCTCCTCAGGGACAGGAACGTACCTCAGCCCAGGTAGGTCTGATATGAACCAAACTTTCAGGGAATGTTGACCATGTCAAAGACCATGGTAACGAAACTTTTTTTGGCGCCACTTGCAACTGCTCGTGGAAAGATGCCACAACAAGGGCCAAAAATAGGCCTCTACGGCGAGCAGAAATTCTCATTCCATGTAAATGACAGAGAGTTCAGGCTGTTTTGTTTTGCAGTAAGCACCTACGGCTAGGAGCTGACAGAGCTCTATCTTTGAATTTCTCATTTACTGATTTCTGGCGCTTAATAGAACTTTAAAGTCAGAAAATCGTTAGAAGGTTTCTTAAAAATCCTCATTTCTATCAAAATAGAAGCATAATTTAAAATCGGACTCTGTCAAATCCGGACTATAGGTGTTATCTACAAATCAAAAAAAGAAGTACTTTCTCCAAGATTCGATTTTCGGCGCATAGACTCCTGAAATTCTAAACTCTTCATCGCCCTTGATTTCTAGAACGCAGACATTTGGCAGCTTACGGTCGACTCTTTCGACCGGAATTCTGTTCCTAACCAAAATAATCACTCCACCATTCTTATTTTCACCTTTCTGATAGAAAACGCTGTAATTATAGAATGCCTGTACATAGAGAGAAAGATCCATGGTGCCTGTCTCGAGAAGAATAAGAATATCGAGATTGTGAGGAGTAGAAAGAAGAAGGACTTCCTGCCAGCAGAGATCCAACCCACAAACGTTAAATGACAAAATGTAGAGAGAAGAAAAAACAGATGAATGGTCATCAGACGGACATTTTTCCCAAAGAGAAAAATAAGTAAATAGTTGTGAACAACTTTCCCACTCAGAAAAGATTTTACAAAAGATTTTTTAATCGAAAGCAGATAAATCCTCATTAGCTGTACACAAAAACTCATATCTTTTGCTCAATGTTCTATGCGGGTACACGAGAAAAAAGGGACTGCAAAAGGCGGCAGGGTCATTATAGAGGAAAGTCTTTACCCTCATTTGAAGTGTTCACTTGTGTTAGTCGCAATTCCATTACGCTTCTGAAAGTCTTTTCACCAACATTTCCATTCTTGAGTTTATTTTTCGAGGCCAGAAATGGAATAATCACCTCAAACATTGCCAGAATCAAATTATGACGTAATTTATCATATTTTTTGACGACTTTTACTTGCGTCCCATGTAGATTCGCCTGACGTTCCAGTAGTATGTGGACACAGGAGACGGACGAGTTTGCTGTTGTGGTGGTAATGTTAGTTTTGACGTGCTGCTGTTGAGAAAACGGACGATTAGCATTATTCATCTGTTGTTTTTTCTTTTGTTAATAACGTCTTGGAATTCTTCTTCGTAAGAGTCGTTTGAACCAGAACGATGTGTTGAGCGAGCAGGTAAATTGATCAGTTGCATATTCGTGGTGGAGGGAGGAGGAATGTTCGATTTTGAATGATAAATCCCGTTAGACTGTGAGTCATGATACATATGTGAGTGTGAATCATCCTGTTGATTATCGTGAGTCATATTTTAATCAATTCCCAATATGTTATTCACAAAATGAGGCTTTTGTAGATCTTTGAGTTGATATAATTTGAATTTGAATACTCAGCCATCGTTTTGACTAATGTAATACAAACTTGTGTTATTCCGTGAAAACATGCACTTAGTGCGTGATATATACGTATATATTTATCGGAATGGCTATTGACATCCCCGGGGTGGCAGCAAAGAGCTACTGACAGTCCAAAGACCGGCAGCAAGGAGCTATTGACACCCCGTCGAACTGGCAGCAAGAGCTATTGACAGTCCAAAATGTACTTACACACTGCATAAATGTGTTATTCAAAGTGTTATATTGAATTAGTTCTGAAATTGACGGCCTATGAGAGGTGATTTCGGGTGGGTTGGGTGGCTGTACATGAGAGTGTGCCACTGGAATACTTTCATGTTACCTGGAGATGATGGTCTTTATTAAATAACACATTTTAGCAGTGTATAAGTGTATTCTGGACTGTCAATAGCCCCTTGCTGCCAGTCTTGGAACTGTCAATAGCTCCCTGCTGCCACCCCGGGGGTGTGAATAGACCTACCCTATATTTAGTTACTTATGTATAGTATTATGTATGTATGTAGAGAAGAGGAAAGACAAGAAAACACGTTTGACCATTCTATGATGAAGTATGATAAAAAGCTATATCATCTTGTTAATAAGGTCTTTCGTTCTCAAGATATTGAAAATATTTAAATATCATCTGTTTATTGTTGATCTTTACAATCAAACACAAAACAATTATAAAAATGAAGAAAAAACAGAATTTCGATCATGAAAAAAACATTTGATGTCTTTCGTACTCAACTGATGAATTAAATCAAATTAAAGAAAATATTGATGGTTTATTTTCCACTAATATGTTTTTTTCAACAACGATCGACAGTGAAATAGCTGCGCAGTTTAAGGGCATCCCTCCCTCTTTTTGAACTTTCCGTAGAAATGCTGTGAAATAAAAACGAAAACTCGCTAGGGATTCATATTTTCAGAACTTACTGGAAACTCAATGGAGCACCTTTTCCTTTTCGTTTTAAGTTTTCAACTACTGCCGTTCACCAGTTTCTCAGAAAACTCGGTTTTTCATTGTGCCACATTACGACCCCCCTTACACTGCATTTAATCGAGTTCAAAATTTTACCATAGGTACTAAACACCATTCGCAGAGGTAATTTTTGGGAACTTTTTTTGAGACTTTTCCTGGTCGAGTTACAGGGAAAATAATGAAAAACGTCTCAAAAACCAAGTTCTTCAATTTTAGAAACCCTATCATTCGGTAAAGAAAACTCTGACATAAAACTCCAAAGCATTACCCCTGCAATAGTGTCTTGAGTACCCCTGGTAAAATTCTGAACTCGATCGGATGAAATTTAACATAGCTGGGTGAATTTCCGTTAGATAGAAATGTTCACTTGGTTTAGCATTCTATTAGGCAGTTAGAATTGTATGATACTAAGTAGAATAGAAGAACATTTTAAGCTAGATTAGTAGAGCATAATTTGCATTACTTCATTATGTTACGAATTAAGTTGTTGGATAGGAATGATTAGAATAGTAAAAGACTAGAATAATAGAAGACTAGAATAGTGGAATATTAGAATAGTAGGATGGAAGAATAGTGCAACAGTGCTTTTCAGGGGTGCAGCCTATACCACCACAGGTACACGTATTTGTTATATATCAAAGAAAAGCTTATTCTAAACGGAATTCGATCACATAATGCTTTGAAAAAAGGACTTTAAAAGGACTTTAAAAATGAGGAAGTGAAATAAATTCAATTTTCCATTTTTTGCAACAATTTCTACTAACATTTTAGAAACAAAACTTTTTTTCAAAAATGTAAACATATAACTCTGCTGCCCGTTCGATGCTCTATCTAACCATGTATGACGCAAGGGTCTAGTACTTAATACAAAAAACTAGTAGGGATTGGAAAGTGAACAGGTGTCATTTTTAGGCCACACATCTGATTTTCATAGAAACTCTATGAGTGATACATGGTTAGATAGAGCAAGAGCCAAGGAATTCAAAGCTGAAAACCCCAGACATCTATCTCTCTTCCAAAAAAAATTATGCAGGTTTCTTAAAAAATCAATGGTTTGGCGATTTTTGAGACCTTTTCGGTATTTTGCATTTTTCTCCGTCAGAACTCTGTCTAAACTCAAAAAAGGTGATATTCGTGATCATCGCGCTCCAACGAAACAGAACATATACAATAGAGGAAAAAAATTTTCACTGCATTTTTTGCGTTAGCTGTACCTTACAGTTATGATTAACGGTTAATAGCCGTAACCGTTGCATGCCTACTGCTAGGAACTTTGTGATATCGACTTTGTCTAAATCATTTAGACAATAGTCCTTATCTTCGAAGTACATGTTCGCTGGACGCGCATTGGGAAAGAGACCATTTGTCTTATTTTCAAAACAGAACAATCACATCTGTTCCAGTTCCCACATCAAACAAAATGTACGTTTTGATATTAATAAGTGAAGTAATCCAAACATATACTATTATAGCCAGCAAAGTACAACAATTGGTAAAAAAAACACTTTTGTCCACTGAAAAATGCTGCTCTGTCTAGCATTGCTTGTTATTGCTCTTGTCTCTTGCAATGCTCAAAAAGTGGATGTCTGGCTCACTGATCCTGATGCCAATATTCTCTTTCAACAACATCCATCACTCTCACCGATCACTAGTATTTCAAACGAAAACATGATCTATGTCAGTGCAACCGAACAATACCAAACCATCGACGGATTCGGATACACGCTGACCGGAGGCAGTGCCATGCATCTGCAAAAACTCGATAGTACGACACGCGCTGCACTCCTACAAGAATTGTTCAATACAGACAAGAGCAACATCGGCGTTAGTTATCTTCGCCTAAGTATGGGTGCATCGGACTTGGACGAACAGGTTTTCTCCTACAATGACCTACCTCAAGGCCAGACAGATGTGAATATGACTCGTTTCAGTTTGGCAACAGATCGATTGTATCTCATACCCGTATTGAAACAAATTCTGGCTATTAACCCTCAAATTAAACTCATGGCCTCACCATGGTCACCGCCAGTGTGGATGAAGACAAATCAAAACAGTGTCGGCGGTAGTTTGTTACCTCAATACTACGATGCGTATGCATTGTATTTTGTTCGATACGTCGAGGAAATGAAGAAAGAAGGAATCATAATTGATGCCGTTACAATTCAAAATGAACCATTGCATCCCGGAAATAATCCATCGCTATTGATGCAAGCCGCCGAGCAGGCTCAGTTTATCAAACAAAGTCTAGGACCAGCATTTCGACGATCTTCGATCAATACAAAAATCATTATATATGATCACAATGCCGATCGACCGGACTATCCAATAACAATATTACAAGATAACGACGCTAGACAATATGTCGACGGGTCGGCATTTCACTTGTACGGTGGCCAGATCGATGCATTATCAGCGGTACACAATGCACATCCAGATAAACATCTGTATTTCACAGAACAGTGGGTGGGTGCACCGGGAAATTTAAAAGGCGATCTGGTCTGGCATGTGAAAAACCTTATAGTCGGCGCTACGCGAAATTGGGCTCGAACGGTATTGGAATGGAATCTAGCTGCCGATCGACAGTTGAATCCTCACACACCAGGTGGATGCACGCAATGTTTAGGTGCACTGACGATTGATGGAAATCATGTTGTATCGCCCAGAAATCCTGCCTATTATGTTATTGCACATGCGGCCAAATTTGTACGACCGAATTCGGTGAGAATTGGATCGAATCTGGTGTCGAGACTGTCGAATGTGGCATTTAAAAGGCAAGAAGATGGAAAAAAAGTGTTGATAGTGGTGAATGAAAATGACTCGGGAACCCTGACATTTCAAATTCGATGGGAAGGACAAGTGTTCAGCACGTCGTTGCGCGGAGGTAGTGTAGGGACTTATGTTTGGTAAAATATATGGCTGTGTTTTTGTTTTCAATGTAAAAATTTTGGAAAATGACTAATAAAGGAAAATTTTTACAAGTGCTACACAGTAGCAATCATAGCCAGAGAGTCTCTGGCTCTCAGTTGTTTGTAACAGGTGGCCCTGTAAATGTTGGTTTTCTACGTTCAAAACAGCTGACTTTTTGTCTAGACTTGAACTGCAGTTTTTCTGCTTTTTTTCTCAAGCACATGACTTTCTTGAATTTCTTGAGTAAGAATCTCATGGCGTGGAGACATTTCTTACTCATGCAAAACGCATTTTTTCCAATGTCATCCGCTTGACTTTCTTGACTCATGTGCTTGACTTTCGTATTTCAAGAAACTCATGCGCATGAGATTCTTACCTCAAGCGCTTGAATTTCTCATGCGCTTGACTTTCTTGAGCCAAACTTTTCTGTCTTGTCTTTTCGATCTGCTTTGACCAATGAAAATCGAAATTTTGATTTCGTTCTTTCAATGTGAATATAGAAATGACTGGACATGTCTGTGTATAGAGCAGACATGTGGACGTCATATACATGCAAGAGAATAAAGCACATCGTCTGCACAGCCATTTCTTTTTTTAACGTACTGCGAAGATGAAGACAAGTTTAACTTGCATTTTTTGCATGTTTTAACCTACGTTTTCTTATTGATTTGTCCTCAAAAAGGATAAAAAGTGAAGTAATTTGAACCTTTAACTTCGAGGTAAGTACACAGCAATTTGAGACGAAGAAAGAAAGAGTTAAATCGTCCTTCGTTTTTTCTGTCACAAAACTGAACTATCTTTCTCATTAACAGTTATGAAAAGTCTTTCTTCTCAGACAATGTATCCAATACAAGGTCCTTTCCCCGTTGTGTAGGCTCAGTTAAAAATGTTGACTGTGCAAGATCTTCAAATAAAAATGCACAAAAGTGAGACATGCACCAAATGGTTGATGTTTATCAGTACAATTGTGAGTTTCCTCGGTGTAAGATCGTTTTGGCATTGGCGGCTTCCAGGATGTAGCAAGTATCAGTCTGGTCCTGTTTGATGCACAGAGGATTGGGGCTCAGCTATTCCGCCTCATTCACAGGATGCTAGATTGGCACTAGCAACGAACTGATATTAGCGTCTAGTATCTACGGATACGCTCCTCTGGAAGTCCAAGCGTGAATGTTTTCTTCACATACGGTAAACGTTACCTTATCGGTAAAACTCACAGGCGTACCTTAAAGACATCAATCTTTCTCACTTTTATTTCGAGATCAAATTCCAGTGACATGTCGAACCAAAACTGAGAAATACAACGCGGAGCGAACTTAGTCAGTCTGACGAGGGAACCTCCTGAGGTGCTAAAAACCTTTTTGAGTGGGACTATTTTTAAAATGTAGACCCTCATGGACTATGAAGAACCCCAGCTTGGTTCGTGCGCAATCAGCTTTGTTGCGGAGATACCGAATTTTTACTCGAATTTTCCCCATAGGACCTGAATTTCAAGGAAAATTGGAGTTTTGAATTTCATGTTGTAACTTAGCACCTATTGTAGCCCAGACCAATTGTAGTCGGATGAAAAAAGCCCGAGCTCTAAACCTCTTTCCGTTGCGATGAAGGAGCTTTTTCCATATGGGCCCTAAAGGCAAAACATGGAGCACGTTTTGAAAAAGTGATTTCGCCCTAACAGAAAGAGGTTTAGAGCTCGGGCTTTTTTCATCCGACTACAATTGGTCTGGGCTACAATAGGTGCTAAGTTACAACATGAAATTCAAAACTCCAATTTTCCTTGAAATTCAGGTCCTATGGGGAAAATTCGAGTAAAAATTCGGTATCTCCGCAACAAAGCTGATTGCGCACGAACCAAGTTGGGGTTCTTCATAGTCCATCAGGGTCTACATTTTAAAAATAGTCCCACTCAAAAAGGTTTTTAGCGCCTCAGGCGGTTCCCTCGTGAGAGGAACATTTTTCTCGAACAAACACATCACACATTATCGAAAAATTATATTCAACAGTGTAACAAAAGATAACATGAAGATTTTAGAGGGTGGAGTGAATAGTTAAAGTAGTAGTAGTAATAGTAGTAATACCCATTACCTTTCGGTGTAGGGTGCATATATAGTTAAAACTCAAAATTGCTGTGTACTCGCTTTGAACTGTCATGAACTTTTCACTGAAAATGACTTCTTTTCCTTTGTAGATAAAGATTATGGCATAGTGAGAGTACCAGATGGTCGATAAGACTAAAAAACTGATTGCATCATGTTCTCGAAGAAAAGTCCGAGTAAAACATGATGTAATCAAGTCTAAAACACGAAGCTAGAGCTATTTACAACGCAGAAAATCGATAATGCATGACTTTCTTGAGGTATGCACATGAGTTTCTTGGGATATGTACTTGACTTTCTTGTCTCATGCGCTTGAGTTTCTTGAGGTTTGCACATTGTTTTAGATATTTCTCCCCTCATGCGCATACTTCAGGCAACTCAAGCGGATGAGACAAGAAAGTCAAGCACATACCTCAAGCGTTTTGCATGAGTAAGAAATTCATGTGCATGGAGACAAATCTTGAGGTATGTGCTTGAGAAAAAAAGCTTCACTAGGGGCGCTATTACAAATATTGAAATCCAAACGGCTTTTCCTGAGACCTTTACGAAAGCATATCTTCTTCGTATAACAGTAACTGTACGAAGAATTTATGAGCAGATAGCGAATCAGTAATATCCTCAAGTATGCTGCTTGTCTAACGCTAAGCAGTATAGAACAGTTATATAAACATCATCATCATCAGCCAACTGGAAGGGCGTCATAGCGTGTGCAGCCGATCACTAGCTTTCTCCCCTCTTCGCGATTTTGCGCAGCCATCTCTATCTCAGCTTCTGTCATCAAATATGTGCTGCATGTCAGTTGGACGATACTTTTAACGAAGCTCAGTTTGGGTCGCCTTAGCTTTGGCATTCCTAGCTGTTCACTTGGTTGGTACAGAGCGTATTTTCGAATTAGCTCTTCTTTGTGGCGTCTGAGTATGTGACCAAACCATGTTAACTGTCTTTTGGCCATTTTGATGGATAATGGGAACTGATTGACGCGGTTGTACAGTATGTTGTTTGACACATGCTCGATTCGTTTTATGGTTAACATGATTCTGTAGCAGTTGGTGGCAAAGCTGTCGATTTCTTTTCTTTGCTGCTGTGTGAGAACCCATGTTTCGCTTCCGTACTATAGAATCGAGATGCAAGCAATCTCAAAGAAGCGGATTTTGAGAGAGAGCGGCGTTTTCTTTGCTCTCCAGATGCTTTCCATCTTCTAGAATACTACCCATGCGAGTGATTTATGGTGCTTCATGTCTTTTTCAGACGATGCCATCATCGAGCCAAGATACTTAAAGTCGGCTACCAGTTCGATTGGTTCACCGTTTGGAGTGAGTGTACCGTGTGCTGCATTTAAGGTGTTGAGTTCCATTCGTTTTGTTTTACCGACATTTATTTCGAGACCTGCTTTGAGTACGCTGTTGTTTGTTCTATCGAGTTGTTGTTGGGCTCGAATGAGACTTCCTTCTAGTAGGACGATGTCATCGGCGTATGCGAGGTCATTGAGGCGCTGTTCAGGCATTCTGCTGGACTGTCATAGATGGGTGATAAATTCAAACTCTCCTACTGCGTCTCACATTACATAAGCCATGGCAATTATGAATACAGATGGTGCCAGAACGTCTCCTTGCAAAACGCCAGTTGAGATCTTGAATTCTTTGAATAATTTACCGTCTACGAAGACCTTACTTGTTGAATCGTCGTAGAGAACACGAATGGCTTGTACGATCTCTTCTGGAATGCCATAACTTCGAAGAATGGCGAACATTGTCTTGCGGCAGATGGAATCGAACACCTTCTTGAAGTCTATGAATGTGATGAAGAATGGTATCTGTTTCGCTGTAGCACCTTCCATTATTCGTCGAAGAATGTGGATCTGCTGGATACAGCTGCGCTCTTTGCGAAAGCCTGCTTGATTTCGTCGTAAAATTTTGTCTGAAAATGAAAAACGCGAAGAGCATAAAATAAATCACAGTTGTAATTATCTGAATGACAAAAATGACCAGTCTTCACTCAATTTGATGAACATGTATAGACGAGAAGATGATTTGTTAAATAAGTCTAAGTTAATTTTATAGAACTAGAACCGACTTTACTATCTTTTCCAAACTTTAATGAAGACGTGACTGTAAAAATTCAGGCAGAGCGAAATCTCCTTCTAAAATTAGATGTCTCTGAGTTTTCTGAAATCTATGCCAATTGTGGAATGAACGAAGATTGGAAAAGGTATGAAAAGAGAATGGAGTTTGGACCGAATGGAGAACGAAGTGCGAATTATTAAATTTTTCCCGTAATAGAAGCCCCCCTTGGGGGGGAGGGGGGGGGGCGATGTGCAAAATGTATTAGAGGCCCCTCATTTGAAAAAAAATTTGAAATTTTCGGAAAGCTTTACTAGTATTTCTAAAGTAAAAACTGTCAAGTTTTCAGGATTTTAAGGTAAAAACTCGTTTAAATTTTACATACCAGCATAAGAATCTCGAAATATCTCTTGATATCTCTTCGAAAAGAAATTATATAATGGTACACCGGATTGCTGAATAAATCTTAACAGGCCAGCTTTCAGTGTCTTTTTTTCTTCAATTTTTTGTGCGAGAAAACACTTTCCTTAAAACATGAAATACTCTAACAAAGTCGAACACTTTCTTGATATGTGGATCACCGCCTATAATGCGGAAAACATTTGTATGATTTTCTCTATGATCGCTTACCTATTTTCTAAACCACACATGTATTCCAGAGCTACGAGCATGTGCTGCAGTAAAATGGCGACATCTGCTGGAAAATTGAACAAACGATTACACATACACCTTCCATTTTGACTGTAGTTATCTGTCTCGCTCATGCATTATTATCCGGGTTTTGTTCCATCCTTCTTTCTGTGTGTGTACTAGTGTGTTATTGTAGGTTGATTGGTTAGTCCATAGTTTACCGAGTAACCATATCGGGTCGAGGTTTCTTTTACATAGTCGAATTCTACCATAAAGATACATTCACACTACAGTTTTCCAATAAGGTATCTGTTAGGGAATGATCAAAACGTCAAATACTTATTTTTGTGCATTCTTTTTCTTTTCGTGTCGTCATTATTTCTCTCTTTGTGCAATCGAACGAACGAATATTTCCATGCTATTCCACTCTTTTATTCAAGGTCAAAAATATGTTCATGTTTCTTGTACTTTCTCTCACTTTCTGTCGCTCTGCGTGCATATTTCGTCTGCTTCTTGTCGTTTTCTTTGTTAATGGTAAAACGCTTTTGTAACTATGACGCTTTTCTATTGTTATCGTTGAAGTTGTTGTGCATACGTTCTATCTCGCTCTATTCCTGGATGTACAAAGTGCCCACTGTACTACAGTTCTATTCTAGATCTTTTCTTCGTGTGCTCAAAAATGGTTGCATCAACATCTCAATTGCCCGTTTCTGGTTCGACGACTATAACTAAATGGGATTCTCGGTATGCTGGTCATGTACCACACGATGCTTCGTACTACTCGAAATGTCTTCTCGGTGGCATTCTCGCGTGCGGTCTCACCCACACTGCTATCTGTCCACTTGATGTCACAAAATGTAACATGCAGGTGAGTTGTCCAAACTCGAAATTTCAATCGTTTTGAATACGATCAGAAATCTGCCTATGACCTGAATATTGATCATGTACGAACTTTCTTGAAAAATAAATGAAAAATTTTTTATTGTTCGGTACTAAAGAAAACCATTCAAATCTTGCAATAAGAAATTTGAGAAAATAACTGTGAAAATGCTCTTGTATGACATCTTTACAAACTACCGATGACGTGTTCTCCGGTAGACGTTTTTGGTATTCTTCGATGCATATGACTGGCCATGAAGTGGTGTGTTTTTGTACGTTCCTTAGCAATAGAAGAGAATTGACAGTCAGATGTTTTTTTGTGCAATTTTGTTCTGTTCTGTGTATAGTATTCGTTGCGTTCGTATAAGGTTCGACAAGGAAGCTATGAATGTAACACTCAGAAAGGATTACACTAATTTGAAATCGATGCATCGTGTACCTTAGTAGCCATTGTACGAGAAAAACGCCTGCTTATCACAGAAGCATGTTCAACGACCATCGTAGATTTTTTACTTAGTAGTGTCATCTTGTAGAGCATGTTGGAAAACCTATAGATCCAAACTTTTAACCTTATCGGACCTTAGTCTATGATGTCCCTTATTCGATGACATAGTTGTATTTCTTTTATCTTGAATCTTCAGATCAGAAACCCGACTTTCTGGAGAGCCGCACAGGTTAAGCTTGTTGGGTTCCGTTCTCGAGCACATCTACCTACAACGAATCCAGAACAATTTTTCTTATGCATTCAGCTAAATCTATTTTCAAAAGTTTGGCCTTGGAAAGCGTCTCTCGAAAATCGACATAGATTTTCTAGAAAACTCTTGAGCTTCTGTGAAAAGTTTGTAAATTACGTAACTAAGAGGAGCATACAATTCTGAATAAAATGATGTATGGTTTAAGGACCATCTTAAAAGAATTATGGGTGAATTATGGATTAATGGATTTCCAAGCCAAAAGATGTTAGCCTAGAAACAGCATTTTTTACATGTTGATTTTTCGACTTAGATAAAGTTGAAGAACACTGAATTATGCATCATTTTATTCAGAATTTTAAGCTCTTTTTAGTTACGTAATTTACAAACTTTTCAAAGAAGCTCAGGAGTTTTCTAGAAAATCTACGTCCTTTTTCGAGAGACGCTTTCCAAGGCCAAACTTTTGAAAACGGATTTAGATAGCCTATGGCTGAATGCATAACAAAAATTGTTCTGGATTCGTTGTAGATAGATGACCTCGAGAATGGAACCCAACAAGCTTAACTTATGCGACTCTCGAGAAAGTCGGGTTTTTGAACTGAAGGTTTAAGACAAAAGAAATAAAACTATGTCATCGAATAGAGGACATCATAGACCAGATATGGTGAAAAAATCTCACTTTGATCATTCTTATTGACGGAGGAATGGCAATTTTACGTTTTCTTTCCATTTTCTGGCGCCAAAGTTTTATGCTAAGCACTCTTGAAAACTCTTGCTGTATCTCTGGAACCTACGGTCCGATAAGGTTAAAAGTTTGGATTTATAGGTTTTCGAACATGCTGTACAAGATGACACTACTGAGTAAAAAGTCTGAGATGGTCGTTTAGCATGAGTGGGCGGGGTTCTCGTGCAGTGACTCGTAGAGAACTGACTGCTGGGCGCGAACAGAATATGTGTCAATGTTTATCGAGACCACCTTGTTTTGATTAGTGAGAGTACGGTGGTCAATTTTCTTTTTGTTTAGGTCAATCCGGATAAATACAAGGGTCTTGTCAAGGGTTTGAAAACTATTGTTGCTGAAGAGGGCAGTCGTGCTGTTTGGAAAGGCTGGTTACCAACTTTCTTCGGTTATTCAGCTCAAGGTGCTTTTAAATATGGTCTCTACGAAGTATTCAAAGATCAATATGCAAACATGGTCGGTAAGGACAATTATGATAAATACAAGGGTCTCATTTGGTGTGCAGCTTCTG